GTGGTATTGGTACTCAGCAATGAAAGTCGGTGCTTAACAAACTGCCTCCAAAACTAGTAGTTTAATATGAAACATTTTTATTGTCCCTCAAAATTGGGGTGGGGGTTGCAGGAGGGGCTTCACTGAGCTCAGCTAGCTGGTTCTTGTTTAAAGTCCCTACCGCAGTTATAGTGAAAGGATTGATACGGAATCATTGAAGTCTTTTTATGTCCTGTCATCTGCCTGTGCTAGAGCCTGGGAGGAAAGAAAGACAGGTTTTGTTTTTTGTTTTTTTTTCTTTTGGTTTTTCGAGACAGGGTTTCTCTGTGTAGCTTTGGAGCCTATCCTGGCACTCTGGAGACCAGGCTGGCCTCGAACTCACAGAGATCTGCCTGCCTCTGCCTCCCGAGTGCTGGGATTAAAGGCTTGTGCTACCAACGCTCAGCCATGACTTCCTCTTATTTTCCATTAGATAATGGTGTTTGTTTTAAGTGTGAAAAAGAACTCAATCCAGCCTCATTGTAGATGTTAAGAACCTTTCTTCTTCCAAGTTAGGAACCTCAACTCTGTAATCTATTTTTCAAGGCAGTTGTTTTTGCAGCTCACCTACAGCTGGAAGCCATCAACTCTGAATTAGCTAATAGCTAATTTTTATTTACATTTATTAATTTTACATTTTTTTACATTTTACGTTTTTTGCATTTATTTTTATTTTACATTTATTAATTTGTTTGGGAGCAGAGACATGCTGTGGCATGTGTCGAGGTCAGAGGACAACTTTTAGTCAGTTATCTCCTGCTATGTGGATTCTGGGAATAGAACTCAGGCCATCAGGCTTAGTGGCAAGCACCCTTACCCCTTGAGCCATCTCTAGCCCTGACATTTTTATTATCTTGTGTATGTGTGTATATACATGTACAGGTGTTATGGTGCTCCTGTGGAGGCCTAATGACAAGTTTGTGGGGTCAGATTTCTCTTTCCACATTTCCATGGGTTCCGGGAATTAAACTCAGGTAGCCAGGCTTGCATGGTGTCTTCACCCACTCAATCATCTCACCAGCCCTCCTCTCTTTTCTGTAAAAATGTTAAGTAACGAATTCATAAGAAAGCTAAGATACAAAATTCCTCTATTTTCTAAGACAAATGCTTCTCTTTCCAGCTTTAGTCAGTATTGGTGTAATGTAAGGCATAATGTGAGTATCGTTTATGCAGCACTATTGTATACTCCTTGTCATTTTGTCAGCCATACTAACCATTTCCTTTATCTTTAGCCCTTGGATTGTCGCAGGATGTTGCAGGTGCAACTTTCATGGCAGCAGGGAGCTCCGCCCCTGAACTAGTTACTGCCTTCTTGGGTAAATATCCCTTCAACTTGCTGCTTATTCAGTGTGATTTTAATTTCTTCTAGTCTGCTTTAACTTACCTACTAATATCTTGCTCCTAGGTGTATTTATCACAAAGGGAGATATTGGTATCAGCACCATTCTAGGCTCTGCAATTTACAATCTCCTTGGCATCTGTGCCGCCTGTGGCTTGCTATCCAACATGGTAAGAAATCTATTCAGTAAGATGTATTGTCTTGACAGATTTTAAAATTAAACTGCCTGGATGAACAACATAGCACTGGAAATGTATTCAGTCAAATTTAATAACCAGTAGAAAAACATTTATTTAATTTATTTAACCCACAAATACCTTTTATTAATCAAATTTGTAAGTCAGTACAGATTTCTTTAAAATTGTTTTCTCTTTGTAATATGTAAAACATAACAATATTTTTCCACAAATATACAAGCAATTTCGGTATTATACTAAACACTGTCCTTGAATTACTTCCGCTGTAATGCAGTAAACCAAACTGTTTTCCAGATTTCAACAATTTCACCCTGGCCCCTGTTCCGAGACTGTATGGTGTACGGAGTTAGTGTAGGAGCAGTTTTTGGCATAATATTTGACAATCGAGTTTACTGGTAAGTTTCAAATAATCATCACTCCTGTGTAAAACATAATTACAGGGAGAAATTTTCAAATCTGATGGCTTGCTTAGTAGTGTAGTTTTCAAAAATGCTACTTCAACTCACTTCAAGGACCTGTCACTTGAGCGCTACTCCAGTCTCAGCTGGTTTCCTCACATGACTACTGACGGCTTCTTCTTTCTACTGAGTCATTTCCTTTTCATCATCAGTCAGCGTCCCTCTCCTAGTCATTGGAGACAGCCGCTCTTCCTTTTACCATGGCCTCCCTGTTCAGAACTTTCCCAGTTTGTTGTCACTTAAAGCTCCAACTGTTGGTGCTTTCTTCTACAGTGTTGTTGCTTAACTGACCTCGATTAGAAGTGGTCAGGCACAAAAGCTTGGAGAACAAGTAAATGCCCCTTCATTCCTGCAATTTCCCTCATCTTCCAAGAATGTTACATGTCAATATTAACCTGTTGTTTTCCCAAACGAAGTATCTCTATACCCAGCTGGCCCAAGAAAATGAAAAAAGCAAGTGACTCATTGGGCAGACATAAGCTTCCCAAATAGGCCCAAGCATCTCCTAGGCCAGTAGTCCTCAACCTTTTTAATGCTGCAACCTCTTAATATGGTTCATGCTGTTGACCCCCAACGATAAAATTATTTTGTGGCTACTTCATACCTGTAATTCTGCTACCATTATGAATCATAATGTAAATATCTGATGTGCAGATAGCCTTAGGGGCCCCCTTGACAGGGTTGTTTGACCCCAAAAGAGTTGCAACCCAAAGGTTGAGAACCACTGTCCTAGGTGTTTATCATTATGCTGGGCACCACAAAATAAATATAAAACATATGGCCACACATGTATGGGTCTAGAGGATGCCCAAACAGGAAGAAAAACAAGATAAGTGAAAAGCCAGACTGCTAGTACAGCAAGGAACCCTGGGATTCAGTTGTTATCTATAAGTGACAGGGACCATGAAAATATCTAAGTACATAAATACATTCCCTCATTAGGGAATTCAGAAACTAATTTTTTTTTTCATTTCTAGCTGCAACAGAGAAGTGATTCACTGGCTATGAAATAAAGTAACAATATTCAAATGTGATGAAATTAGCTAATTACAGTAAAATGGGAAATCATGGATAATTCTTGGTGCCTCATGTTGGGTTCCCATTTTTTGATAATACCTTTGATTTCTTGTGAATACAAGCCAAATTCAGCTATAATAAAACCGTCAAAAGGGGGCACAATAGTAGCACAGACCTGAAATCCCAAAACTCAAGTAGAAGAGGTAGGAGCATTGTGAATTTCAGTATTTGAGGAGAGAAGGTATATAGTGTTCAACACCAGTCTGGGCTATTCAGGGAAATACTGTCTCAAAAGCCAGTAATACGCCACCTCCAACTTTCTTCTAAATCTCTACAGAGCAAATTTCAAAGTTCAACCTAAAATCTAACATATTTTGAATAATTCACACAAAAGTTCTTATACCAGAAAAATCTAACAGTATATTCTTTTCCAATCATTAAGTATTTGGAGAATGTAGTAAGTATGTCAATGAAATAATTTGGAAAATGGCCATTATTAATTAGTTTTAGTTTGAAAAATCAACACTGTTTAAAACTTATTCTGGATTGGCTTCAACGACACACAAACATCTTGTTTTCAGGTATGAAGGGGCACTGCTGCTGCTGATTTACGGGCTCTATGTTCTGCTGCTGTGTTTTGACACTAAGATCAGCCGGTATGTCAGGAAGAAATGCAGTCCCTGCTGCCCCTGCCTTGCCAGAGCTCTGGAGAGAAGTGAACAACAGACACTGCTGGGATGGGAAGATGAGAGCCAGCTCTTCACTCGCCGTCAATCAAGGACAGACAGTGGAATATTTCAGGAGGAGTCTGGTTACTCCCAACTTTCTCTAAGTTTACACGGTCTTAGTCATATTTCTGAAGGTAACAACACCATCTAACCACTAGAAAAAGTTCTCATTTCAAGGTAGTAATTAGCATATGCCTATGAAACACACTATGGAGTCAGAGATGAAGTGCAAATCCTGGCCTTTTAAGAGCCTCCAATAAACATTTTTAAAATCAGCTCAAGTGTGCAGAAGGGGGTATACACAGATGTGGAGGATAGCAGTCAGCCCTGGGTGCTGTTCCTCAATCCTTCTCCACCTCATTGAGACTACACTCTTTCAGTGAACTTGTAGCTCACTGATTAGACTAAGCCAGCTAACCAGAGAGCTCTAGGGATCTGTCTCTGCCTTCGCAGCACTGGGGTTACACAGATAGGCTGCCATGCTTTTTTCATATGGCTGCTGGGGATCTGAACTTCACAAGCCTATGCGCCAAGCACTTTACCCACTGAGCCACCTCCCCAGACCCCAAATCAGCTGAAATTACAGTGTAACTACCATAAAAATAAATAAACTGTTACTACTATGGTTCACACATTAGGCAGATTGAATAAACTTAGATAACATTCAAATGGGAGATGCACATGGAGAAAAGAGCATTTCAATTGGGTCTTGTGGAATAGAAAGTCTTTAACTGAATAATCTGATATTGTAGTCAGGAAGCAACAACTGACACCTTATTGCACAGATAATCTGGGGATTCGAGCACGATCTATGGACTGAGTCCAGGGGACACTAGCAAAGGCTTGCTCTCATGGGTGCATAGACAGAGCTACGGAACACATGCTCTCCTGTGTGCAGAGACAGAGCTACGGAATACAGGCAAAGAAAAGAAGCAGAGGAATGTTGGACAGGAAGGAAGTGAAACAGAGTCACGCAAGGCAGGTTCTGAGGAGTAAAGTCACAGAGCTACTCACAGTATTCACAGGAGACTGAACTAAGATGACAGGACATGGACAAAACAGACATGGCAGTGGGGATAGAGCCCAGGCGAGAGCATGGAAAGGAAGCATCACCAAACAAGGGCAGCAGCAGAACCATGAGAGGAGATAAAACTAAGGCTTCAATCTCCACTGGTGACAAATGCAGCCATTGAGGAAAGAGGGGTGGTTTTGAGGAATAGTAAGGAAAAAAAAAAAAAAAAAAAAAAAAAAAAAACAGGTGGGAATGAAATGTGTGAAGCAGAAGCTAAACGTGAATTTGGTATGTTCGATATAACAATGTCATTTCTGACCAGAAAACTTTATAAAAAGTGATTCTAATTTCAGTTAAGTGATTAGGAAGGAAGTTTCTAGTTTATCATTTAAAAAAAAAAATGACACATGACTTTTTTCAACCTTACAAAACATACTTCGTAGTCTTTAAGGTAGAAAAGATTTATAACAACAACAAAAAGCCCTCAAAAGTATCAATCAAAATGTTCGTATTAAAATTTTATCTAAATTAATGGTGCATTGCTTGAGTCTTGGTATGAGCCAAGTATGGTATAAGTGCCATATATAGTCCACAGCCCGATCAGTCTCACTTTTATCCAATCTAGTCATCCCTGTGCCCTGAGCACACACTCTAGAGCTATACCAGGAGACTACTAGGCCCAACTTACTCTAGGTTCCTTCTAGCAACTGAAGCACGAATTTAGTACATGATAAGACACAATGGGAATGAGAATTAGATGGAACATTCCCTAAGCATGTATTGGTATACAACAAACCATAAGCCTCATCAATTTTGGAAAAGGGATGAAATGAAATACCATGGGTGGGGGAGGTACAAGAGGTGGGGGGTGTGGGTTGAGGGGAAGGGGAAGTGCCAAGTTAATCCTAAAAGTTCCTAATAATCCATACTGCTCCATACTATTCTGCAAAGACTGTCACCAGAGCATTCAGCAAACAGTTCAAGACATTTGATTCAAGTCCTCAGAGAAGGAAGGGGAAGTTGAGCATCACAGCTTATGTTGTCTGCCTAGTTTCAGTTAAGTTTCTTTTGACCGGCAATAACAGTAATGAAGTATCCAAATGTTTGAGGATCAGTGGTTCTCACCCTTCCTAATGCTGCAACCCTTTAATACAGTTCCTCATGCTATGGCAATCCTCAACCATAAAATTATTTTCATTATTACTTCATAGCTGTAACTTTGCTACTGTTATGAATCATAATATAAATAACCATGTTCTCTAATGGTCCTAGGCAAACCCTGTGAAAGGGTCATTCATCCTCCAAAGGATGACCTACAGGTTGAGAACAACGCTGTAGATAGTCTTTCAAAAATGTGTGCAGTGCAGTAATTTCAACACAGCCTTCTAAATGGGCCTTTGAGAAACAGGTCATTTGAGAAAACTCAAAATTGTTTAATTTTTCCATAACAGACCCACCAAGTATTTTCAGCATGCCTGAAGCAGACGTAAAAAGAATTTTTTGGGTACTCTCTCTTCCTATTATTACATTACTTTTTCTGACAACACCAGATTGCAGAAGAAAATTTTGGAAAAATTACTTTGTGATAACCTTTCTCATGTCTGCACTATGGATATCTGCATTCACATACATCTTGGTTTGGATGGTAACAGTAACAGGTATGTCATTAAGTAAAATAGCACAACAAGAAACTAATCTCATGTAAGAAGAGACTGCAAACATTCATTTAAAGTAGTCTCTTTTCAGAAAGACTAAAAACTAGTGTTGTTTACAAAAGATGAAAGCTTAATATCACAATCTAACAAGCTCATTTGGGTTTTGTGAGTTAAATACAAGGGCATTTCCCACTATTACACAGTCTGGGGTATAATTCATAGGACCCCTTAATTACATAGGGTTCATGAGAACTCTTCATACTGAAGCCTAATCCACAGTGGAAACCAGAGAAAGGAACTAACTGGGGTTAGGGGTAAGCAGTAGGTGCTTGCTGTTTAACTAGATGTTTTCTTTTGCTTTACAATATGGCAATGGAAATACAATATAGATGACTAAGTGAATATAAAAGTTTTGTATTAGGCTTCTAGTATCTTCACAAGTAAGTTTTACTGCTTAGACATAATATGCTCTAATCCCCAATGAAAAAAATGACTATAAATAGAAATAAAAATTAGGATTTTCCTTCAAAAAGATGAACTGTAACTAACTTACATTAGAAATGAACAATCTCAGCCAGGCGTTGGTGTCGCATGCCTTTAATCCCAACACTTGGGAGGCAGAGGCAGGCGGATCTCTGTGAGTGTGAGACCAGCCTGGTCTACAAGAGCTTGTTCCAGGACAGTTTCCAAAGCCACAGAGAAATCCTGTCTTGAAAAACCAAAAAGAAAAAGAAAAAGAAATGAACAATTTCCTTCTGACATGCCTAAGTCAACCAACCTGTTTGTATCAATGAAACTCACTGACCAGTTGCACCCGGTCATCTATTTACATGTATATATTGCTGTTTTTACATTGGGGTGACTCAAGAATCTCAACAGAAATGACCACAATGACTGCAATGATGAAATAATTATTACCTGGCCCCTTCTCCAAAATGGCTGACCTCAACTTCTCCCAGATAACTAGCTTTATTATAATTATACTAACAAAAACAAAATAGTTTTCTTTTTTATGATGACAATAAGAATGTCCAGGTAGTTTGCACATTCACTGTATCCAATTTTCCTAATCGGAATATTTTACATTAAAAGAGTAGAATCAAATATAAGGTCACACATAATAACTAAGATGACAAACAGCACTGTTCTTATTCTAAACCATGTTTTCAATTACAACATTAACAGTTACCTGTCCCTACCCTTTTTACCTGCCCTCTGGTTTTCTCAGAATGAACTCATGTCTGCTATCAATTTGATACAAGTATTAAGAAATTGGTGCCATATGTTAGACTCAGACAGGAAAGTAGGTCCCTGTCTACCTCAGAGATCTATGTACTTCCCTAAAACAAAGCAAACAGTAAACAAAGTAGCATGTTCAAAGCCCTCATTTCAATCTAATAATGGATAAAATTACTATAAGGTGTTTAACTCTCAAGTATTTTAACTTCAAGAAAACAGAAAATAAATAATTTCACCACACAAGCCAACAGTGATAGCCACTGCTTTCCTCAGATTCCAAATGAGGATTTCTTATTGCTCAATATCTTTAGATATCTGTCATTAAAAATGTGTGCTGCCCTGGTTAGCCAAATTATCAACATGTTTCAAATACTTTGCCATCTAGAAACCATATAAGCAGCATATATTGGTTCAAAAATCTAGACATACCTAAATACTTTTCCTGAATAGGGAAGACACATCCAAGCTGTCTTCAAAACTGCTTCATATAAGATTTGTGATGTGTAACCTGTAGTCTCTGTGTCTATTACAGGGGAAATACTAGGAATTCCAGACACAGTAATGGGCCTCACTCTATTGGCAGCAGGTACAAGCATACCAGACACAGTCGCAAGTGTGTTAGTTGCAAGAAAAGGTAAGACTGGCAGTCTCCCAGAGGCACTGGCTGTCCTTTAAGCTTGAGTACCATAAAGCAAGTAAAAGGAAAGGTAATAACATACTTTGAGGAAAAAAGAAGTGACTCATGGGAAGCATTTAGTTTTTAATAGGTTAATTCCACCAACCCAACCCCCCAAATACTTTTTACCTGAAATGTGCATTAGATGGTAATTCACTGTCAAATGAGAATGAAAAGCAACAGATAAGCTGCACACCTTATTAAAAATGGTTTAATAAATAAAGGTAATTATTAAATAAGTGTTAAGACTTTAAATACTAACTCAAGGAAATACAAATTCAATAAGACTCTTGCTCTAACAATAATTTTTCTAAAACTAACCAACAAAAAGTATCCAGTGTTTTTCTTATGAAGATTATTAATAAAATATAATATTGGTGTGCACATTTTAACAACATGCTGTTCTTTTGCAGGTAAAGGAGACATGGCTATATCTAACATCGTGGGATCCAATGTATTTGATATGTTATGCCTAGGTCTTCCCTGGTTTATTAAGACTGTACTTACAAATCCATCTGCTCCTGTAGAAGTGAATAGCAAGGGACTCACTTACATAACCATCTCTCTCAACATTTCAATTATTTTTTTGTTTTTGGCAGTTCATTTTAATGGCTGGAAACTAGACCGAAAGTTGGGGGTGGTCTGCCTAGTGTTATACTTAGGACTTGCTACCTTATCGGTTCTATATGAACTTGGAATTATTGGAGGTAACAGAATACGGGGCTGTGGAGTTTGATATTTTTAATAGTGTTGTGTGGGAAAGGAATGGTAGAGGGGCAAAAAAGAAGGAAAACAAAAACAAAATAAAGAAAAAAAAACCCAACCTATGTCTTCATTTAGGACAAATAAAAAACTCCCTCAACTTTAGAATGTGACACTTAATTACTATTCTTTATAAGTGGAGAAAAGTAATTTAAACCAAACCAAAATCACATCCTAATTTGTCTGAGCCCTTTCTTTTCATTAACAATTTGATACAAAGCAGAGATTTGAGGGGTTAAAGTGTCTGTTAACTTATAGTAAGATTGGGGAAATTAGAACAAACAAACCCTACTACTGGAAACAACAAAATGGCTTATTTCATTAAAATGGTGTGTCCATCCATCGAAACTGAATAACCAGACTTGCCGACTTTAGAAACGCAAACTTGAGATAACGAAAATCACAGTATATTTTTCAACATTATACTGTTAAAAGCTGGTGGGAGTTTTAAAAGTTCATTTTTACAGCATTTGTAAGCATACAACATTACTAAAAAAATGACTTTTACTAGGAGATTCAATAAACAGATGAAGGAATGTTCCAACCATGCTTGAAATTATGCATTACGATCCAAGCGAACATCGATTTCCCTGCCACTGATTTTGATGCCGTTCATTATTCTGCAGGCCTTTTCAGCTGACTCAGGGGATTCAAACCTAACTGTCCCGCAGCCTTTTGACTTGCCATTCTCCATCTTTATTTCTGCAAACATTACATGACCTGCAAAAGAGAGTTACACACTTACTAGTCCATTTAAATGTGTTCCATTTCACTAGACAAGTTGTGAACTCCTCATAGCAAAGGACATCACAGGTAATTTAGTTAAACATATTAATATAAAATACATATATATAGGCATTATCAATCTATGGTCTGAATATAATTCCTATATAACTACATATACATACATATTAGCCACATAAAATTGGAATTGGACAATGAGTTTGGTTTTAAATCTCCAATTTCTAGAGTGGATGTTATAGCAATAAGGCTAGATAGCACGAATACTACCAACTCACCATGGCCCCTAACAAGATGACACCTTTAATCAAAATCTCCTGAATCTTCTTCCTTCTCTTTTATCTTTATTTCACACATTCATCCTTATGAGAACAAATGTCCATAAATCTAAGTTCTGCCAGGTCACAAAAGGGCCATCAATTCTACTTTTCAACTACTGTAACAAAGCCATCTAGTCAATATCACAATTTGAATCCAAAATCTTAAGGATGACATCAAATAAGGAGATTGTTATAAAAGACAGCAGATTTAAGTCGGGCAGTGGTGGCACACACACTAGGGAGGCCGAGGCAGGCGGATCTCTGTGAGTTCGAAGCTAGCCTGGTCTACAAAACTACACAGAAAAACCCTGTCTTGAAAAAGAAAAAAAGAAAAAAAGAAAAAAAAAAGACAGCAGTTTTAAAACAGTAAAGATAAAACAATGATGTGTTAAAGGGAAATTTCAGAAAAGCTTCTGGAAAGAACAACAAACCCTGACAACTGTTTTTACACAATTAACATACAATTAACATCACTGTTAACATGTGAAAATCTATAGTTACTGTATGATCAGTAACATCGAAATACAAAGTAGCCTTAAAATTACCAATTAAATCAAAGTACTTCTGAGAGCAAAGAGGAATGACAATCACATACAAACAAAGACAGAACAGTAAGACTACAGCTCAGGCCAACTGGGATGCACGATGATCAATACAAGCAGGCCATAACTTGAGGGCACAACTACTTATGTACTACTTCCCCCACTCAGGATGCACCTGTCATCAAATCATGCTAGACTTTGAATATTACAGCAGCTACATTACTGTTTACAAAGGGACAAAAAAAAAAAAAAAGAGAAAAGTAAAAGGCAAGGGTCTCTGAGATAAAGGAAATGAATACTATTCTTAATGAATAAGTCAACATCGTTTTCCTGTTAGCAGCATGAGCTAAGTGACCTCTTATCTACAACATCCTAGGCTACTTTTGTGTATCCATCACTTTCTGCTATTGCACTTCTTTTCAAACCCCAACTGATAACAAATCCTTCACCTTCTCAACTCAGAGACAATGTCAGACTGATTCAGAATCAGGAAATTCTTGAGTGCATCCCTAAGAGTTGTAAAACACATTAATCCCACAAAAATTACATAATGATTAAAGTAGAATGAAAAAATATTTAGCCCACAAGGAGTAAAACAGAAAAGAAAAAGTAATCTTAATTTCTAGTGAGAAAAAAATTCACAGAATTACACTGAAATATATATAAAAGAAACATTAGTGGTTGTCTTAGTCAGAGTTACTACTGCTATGATGAAATACAAGACCAAAAGCAAGTGGGCTTATTCAGCTTACATTTCCAAGTCAATGTTCATCATCAAAGGAGGTCATGACAGGAACTCAAGCAGGACAGGGACCTCGAGGCAGGAGCTGATCAAGAAGCCACATGGAGGGGTACTGCTTACTGTCTTGCTCTTGCTGCTTGCTCAACCTTGCTTTCCAGTACCCAGGGTCAGCAGCTCAGAGATGACACCACCCATAATGAGCTGGGCCATGCCCTATCAATCACTAATTAAGAGAATGTCCTACATGGCTGTCTACAGCCCAATCTTAATGGAGTCACTTTTCAACTGAGATTCCTTCCTCTCAGATGACTCCAGTTTGCATCAAGTTGACACAAAATTAACCAGTACAGTGGAAAACAGTACAACTTCCAAAATCCTCCAGCATGTTGGGAACTGGCACCCAGGAAGGAGCAACTCCATTAAGGCAGCATGCTTTGGCACATGGCACTTAAAACACTGACCTCCAAGGGCTACTGCGAATTTTACAGCATTTGAAGCTGGAGGTTCTTCCCTTATTCTAATTTTATCTAAAAATCTAGGTTTTTTGAAGTTCCACAGCATAGGGTTATAAATAACAATGGAGTTTACTTGAGCTAGAATCTTGAAAACACATTACTATCTCTTGCATTAACTATCTTTCAATATTATAGACAAGATTCTCTCTTTCCACTTTCCTCTTCAAGTGCCACCATTAGTTTAGGGTGTCATCACTTAGGCATTCAAACTCCTAAGTCCACAATGGTCTGGTCTGCCCCTTGATAAGACCTCTCAGCTACGACACCAGAACCTTCTCAGTTTGGATTTTTACACTCTAGATCAGCCCCCACACACCTGTTTCCACAGTCAGACCACCCCAAGTAAGAAAAGAATCCTAACCTGCTGGCTGGCTTGGTTATTTCTAGAACTTGGAGACTAAGCCAGGGCCTGGCACACACCAGGCAAGTGCTTTAATGTTGAGCCATATAACATTGTCAACTTTTGGGTTAGTTTTTAATTTTTTTTTTTTTTTTTTTTACTTTTTGAGACAGACTCACTAACTTGCCCAGAGTAGCCAGTAATTTACTGGATAGCTGAAGCAATCCTCCTGCCTCCATCACTGAGTGCATTCACCACCACACTAAGGTGAATCCTACATTTCCAACCTTATGAAAACACAAATTAAGGTATTTCCTTTCTAAAATAAATAATTCAGGAGGTAAAGTTTCAAATAATTAAAATCAATCTGCCTAACATTTTACATGATAAGAAAGTCTTCAAAGGGCCTACTAGCATTTTATCAACTGTACAGGACTAAGCTCTGGCATAAGGAGATTTGACATCCTGTGGTCACAGAGAAGGTGCACACAATAAAAGAAAGCTTCCCACTTTACTTAGTCCAGGCAATTACTTTTGGAAATGGTATAGTATATGGGGAAATGCTGGCATAGACCATAACTAAAAATAAGCCAAATTAATACATTTATAAACAAATAACAAAATCAGCCTAAATAAAGCTATGACATTACTACCTGGGGTTCAATACTGTTGCCTTTTGTTGTTGTTGGGGCTTACATTAGCAAGGCACCTGCCAGTGAGTTATTTCCTGACAGACACTGTCTAAAGTATCACTAGATTCTTGCTAAGCAAGGAAGAAGAACATTTACTTGTCTAGCCTGGGATCAGGAAAACAAAACACTGCACATGAACAATCAAACCCGCTTTTATGAATAAAAAGGTCATTGTTTGTGTCAGGTTAAAAGAGCACTATTAAAACAGAAAAACTCTTAAGATTCATAAATAATGTGATATGGCAGAAAATAGATGGTTCAGTTCAAACATGTCACATAATACTCAGGGAATAGAGATTTAGTTCTGTATTAGCAGAATTTATTTTCTTTGCCATTAATGTAACTCCTGGTTAAAAACTAGGCCTGGCCCAGGATGATGTGGTAGACTTTTGGGAGCCCCTTTTGAGGGCCTTACCCTGCCTGGGGAGTGGAGGGGGAATGGCTAGGGGCAGGTGGGATGTTGGAGGGGAAGGAGAGGGAGAGGGAGAAGGGATTGCCATCTGAAGCAAGCTTGTTCCTAATTTGAACTAATAAAATAAAATAAAAATTTTAAAAAAATGGGATGATATAGAGTTATGTAAGTATAGTACTAAATATAAAATAAAAAACAGCTTTTATACCTAATTTGGAAGCAAAAAAAAAAAAAAAACCCAAACTCATTAACCTTTTAACTATCAGCTAATTCAAAAGGGGAAGAGAAAGAAATACGAGCCCTATATAATCAAGCCATTATTTCTACATGAAGACTTAGATACTTTCTCTTCTCACAACATGCCTTCCGTGAGGTCACTATGCTACCCCAGCCCTAGCTTAAGCTGTTAAGTGTCACTCCTACCATCTCAAAAGAGCACCTGCTTACACAGTGTCATTACTTAACTCCACACAGGCTACCAACACCTTTCCAAATAATGCACTAGGCTGCTTTCTCTCAGTAGTCAACAACTGCCAACTCTTGTAGCACGATTAATAACCCAGAGGCAGATACTGGGGTTCAAACTGAAGATCAGAGAAGCAAAGCAGCCAGCCACTAGAGACTTCTCACCTCTACCAATGCTCAGACTGAAGGGGTGATTCACTGAACAGATTGCATCTCCAGACTACACTGCTCTCCACCAAGTCTCAAAATCCTACACTGCTTCTGTGGGAGATCCTGTCTCTTCCAGCCTTATATTCTTCTCCACCCAGTCATATCACTCCTGCCTCCACCTCCCTAGTGCTGGAATTAAAGGCATGAGCTCTGTTACTCTTTTAGACTGCTTCATTCTCATGTAGCCCAGGGTAACCTTGAGCTCACAGAGATCCATCTGCCTCTGTCTCTTGGGTTCTGGGATTAATGGTGTGTGCCACCACTGCCCAGCTATGGCTGTGGCTAGCATTGCATTCTGATCCTCGGTGACTTTATTAGATCATAAACACTGTATCACCACGAACTCACTTGCATTTGACAAGGTTTTTGGAAGAGCTGCCTCTTGGTTGAATTTAATCCCAGCACTCTGTAGAAGAGGCACGCAGGTGGATCTTAGTTTTCTGTTAATTGTAGGAGGCCAAATGGACTTACTTTCAGGCCTGTTTCAGCATAATGTGCTATATAAGTATCTTAGTATTGTGATTTTAATCTGGAATTCTATATACTAGAAGGAAAACTGCTGCTTTGTGCCAGTCACATAATTCCGTATCACACTCACACACACACACACACACACACACACACACACACACACACGGAGGCTTTACCAATTAAGATCGTTTAAAACAAAAATGAATATGGTACAGAAAAAAGCTTTATTTGAAAGTAATAAATCAGCCAATAACACAGAGACCTAAGGAATAACTAAGGTCTGTAGCTAGTCTCCCTACAGCCAAAAATAGTTTCCAAAGGATTAGAAGAGCCACCAAAATGAATCTGTGTAGAAAGTATCTATGCTACTAGATTAAGGTTCCTATGATATGCAGGCAATACAGTGTACAGAATGGATCTTCCCATCAACTACGAATCAGCAAAGAAGTAAAGGTGCCTTTTACTAATGTTTCTCATGAGGGAAAAAAAAAAAAACTTCTAATGCAAAAACATATCAACCTCTTTAAAATTTGGAATTAAAGAAAACTTCTTTACAAGTAATGATGGGATATCCTGTCAAGTTTACATTAAGCCCTGTTGTTTGCTCTAAGTCACCAGACAGCAAAACTATTAATTATCTGAAGTTGTGTTAGACAAGAATACAACTGGGATGAGCCAAGATCTAAACAAAGCATTTCAAAGCTTAAAAACAAAATTTTCCTCCCAAGAAATATCAGCACAACCTGTACCTACTAGTATACTTACCACATTGGCTGAATTTCTCTTTTAGTTTCTGCCAAGTCAAGTCAAAAGGTAACTAGAATGAAAGAAATTAGTAATATATGTTATATGTACATATATATATATATATTTATGTCTTCCATTATATGCTAATAGTAAAATTAACAATATACTCCATATATAGATAGATAGATATATGCAAACATATAAAAAGAATTTTAACTTTCCAATACATTTATTTGCTTACATTTCTAACAAATATCTGGTTGCCTTTGGAGCCTAATCTGTCTCTCATTCCGCTTCCCATGGGGCCCGATAAAAACCCTCGGTCTACATCGATGCTCCTTTCCAGTATCGCTCCAATCCCTGGCCCCATCCTGTCAAAGCTGGAGCTCATGCGGTCCAGTCCCATCCCCATGCCTCCAGTCACACTGCTCATGCCACCCATGCTGCCACCTGCAGTGTGAAGAAGGGCAGGAGGATTTGGGAGTTTCAAGTTTTAAAAACAAAACAAAAACAGCAAAAGGAAAGACAAGAAAGAAAAAAAGAAAACAATCAGTTTTGGAAAAGTGAGAAAAATTCATTTCTATAACAGAAAAATATTTTCATATAGAAAACAAGTAATAGCTTGACATACATTTGGTTAAGAAAACTTTAGTCACAATATAATTATATATGCCTCTATAAAATTATAATCATAAAACATCTCACATAAAATATTTAAATTCTCCAATTACATTCATATTCTTATATTTTTGCAATAACAAATATAACAACTTGAAACAAATTAAAGAGATGAATACAAATTGTTACAACTCTAGCATACAAGTTGCTCTCACGTCACACTCCCCTACACATCATTCCTTTCCTTGCTCGCCTTTTATCTCAGTATGTGCACATCTGTTTCCCACACAAATTCTACTTTGTTATCAATTCAACTGTCAGTAATCACAGACAATAGGAACTCAGTATCATACAGAACTTGCAAAGGGAAAAATGTACTCTCCTTCAAACAAAGCTTGAATTTAGTCTCGTTCATATCTCCTCTATTGCACTGGCTTTACTACTGTCTCCCTTAATTATCCTGAACTCATTCTCAAAATGTAACTCTTCTTTCTCATAATTAATATCTCTCCATGAAAATCCTGAAGAAATACTATGACTTCCCAGCCGGCTTTCTGCTAATAACAGGTCTAACTGGGAAAACAGAAATGCAAGCACTGAGATAAAAGGGGAAGGTAAGGATGTTACTGAGAGAAAAACGAATGTTGAAGGATGACAGAGCAGGAAAGAAAATGAGAAGCACGTGGCAAGCAAATGTATCCAGCGGACAGGATTTCAGAATTCATGCTTAGTAAGTTTACTTCCTGTTTCCTGAAATTTCACCACCCAAAGGACGTCAGCAAGGTATAGAGATTTCATAGGCACAGCCAAGTTAGCGATGCCATCAGAAACTCAGCCATGAGTGCAGGCATTATGTGAGGTTTAGTATGTGGGAGCCAATGAGAGGGTATCTGGCATTCTCTAGTGTTGCAATATGCTTGTTTAGAAAGGTCTAAGAGGGGAGGAAAATAATCATCTCTTCATCTTTATCCCTCAACTTCAAGAAGTCCCTAAAATTTGGTGTTTTGTCTCCATCTGCCAGAAAGCATAAGGCTTACAGATGAAACAAGCTAGTAGCTGCTGTGCAAAATAAAACAAAAGTGAAGATAGTATTCAAACAACAGCTGTTTGTGACATGGGATGTACAAAGACAGTTCTTGGACTGGCTACTGAATACACATTCTGGAATTAGTTGAGAAATACCAAAAACAAAGTTAATTTTCAAACATCAACCAAACAAATGTTAACTCATTAAAGTTAACAAAATATGGCAAGACACATTAACACAGAAGAGCAAAGAATTACTGTACTACAATAACTACTCTTGCAAACTCCTTGCAAGCACTCAAATACTACTCAGTAAGTTCTATTAAAATTAAAACCTACTTATTCCAGTTCCTACTGGACCCATGTTAGAAGCTCCTATTCTTCCTGCAAACCCTCCAATCATTGCACTGCCTAAACAAGGATGGAAAGATAATATACTAATTAATTATGACACTTCAAAATTCCCAAGGTACTATACTCACAAATAACTAAACATAAAATTTTCTGGAAATAAGAGTTAAAATATTTAAGATATTGTAAAATAGAGCCATAAAATTAAAATTCTAAAGTATTTTCTTACAGTAACAACTATATAAATTACAACTTTTAAAAATTTTTCACCAAAAAGAACAGCTTTTAAGAGTATGACCTGCAAAAGGAAAAAAGTATGCAACCAGCCCTACCAAGTCTACCAAAGGAATCGCCAAAGCCTCGATTTATTCCAATATCACCACGTCCGAAATCTCGCTCCATGCTACTAGTCATTGCACCACGGTATAGCTCTGAAAAGATGTGCAACAAATTAACCCCTCTTCAAGTACATCAATGCATAGAAAACTATTCAGGAATACGTCTAAGCTAAACTGAAGAAAAAAAGAGCAAAAGTTATCAATACAAAACATCCTGTGGCACACCCACTTACCTCCAACAACCCACCCCCACCCTCCCTGCCATGTTTACAAGTGTACTCTAGAGCCCAAGTACCTTCTGAAAACCTCTACAGCATCTATTGCTACATGTGTGTAAAGATAACTATCTCAGTACTAGGGAAAGGAAAGATAGCAGAAACCCCTGAGTACATTCACCTACCTCCCATCCGGCCAACTCCGCCAAATCCTGCCATGCTATTCATTGCTTCCAGACCACCAAACCCAACTCCTATGAAATAAAGAGTAATTTTGAGACTTGACTGCAGCTCTGTAGATGAATGGTCCATTCTGGAAATGTTAAGTCTCCAGTAAGTGCTTCCTCCATTCTACCTTCTGCAGGTACTTCACACATCACCTTCCTTTAAGGGTGTATTAGGCTCAATTTTTGCCAACAGCATTTAGAACATGAGCCAACAATAAACCATGACTTTTTTTTTTTTTCTAGAATTATCAACAGTTTCTAGTTTCTTTAAAATGGCGATGAGTACATGCAAAAACAAATACTTATACATACCTCCTCCAATTCTATTCATTCCTCCAAAACCCGGACCATCCATTCCCATACCTCAAATAAAATACACAGTATGTACTTTCAGTAAATCTTATTTTGTGACTAACGAATGACATTATAGCAAAATAAATACCATTGGTTTAGTCACAACGGGACACTAGAGAAGCAGGTGCAGGGTATAGAAGGATGGTTTACAGAGCTACGTCATAGTGGCTGACTAGTCACCAGTCTTCAAAACAGGCCTCTGAACATCAGACAAGAAAAAAAGAGTTTACTGGTCACACACAACATCCAGTTGGAGAGCATCTAGAACCAGTGTGCACTCTTGCAGGTACAAAGATATCACTATAGCAGATTTAGTGATAAGACTACAAAGCAAAGATTCCCTCTCAACACAGCAGTTAATAGCTGGTTTAGAAGGGAAGGGTATGATATCCTAAAATAAACAAGAAAACACTTTTTGTCTCAGAATGAGAATTTCCATCACTATCTTATATTTTATAAAGTTTGTACCAATTCAACAAAAAGGAGACTATAACAAATTTATCAGCCCATAAAATGAAATGCAATTCTCAAAGGATGGTCTGGGGACCTTTGAAAGGCCAAGAGATCAAAATAATCTCCATTACTAAACACTTCTGAGTTATAGGGATGCTTTCTCTCATCTCACGACTGCAATGTGGAACTTTCCATAAACTACACGGTGCATGCTGTCACAGCAGACACAGCAGTGCAGCTATCTACATGAACACAAACACTACACCAAGAGATGCCAAAAACAGAACCACTCTGCTCATTTATTAGAAATACTTTATTTTCTTAAAAATAGTACTTGTGTTTATTACATGTTTCCTACGATATGCATTAAATATATTTTTAGGTTTAATCAGGGTTAAATATGACTTATTAAGTCAATTTTCACAATTTTAAGTTTTTTATAATACAGTAAATATTAAGAAACATATCATTAGCAAAATCATGGTACATTTTCAAACCTGAAAGAATAAAGTTTGCTAAACTTAAAAGTTGGAAAATCAATCTCTAAGGACAATGGAGTCCAAGAAGAGGGTCAATAACTACCTCAAAGCTACCTCCAAATATAGTAAATTTAAATTGCCTATGCTATGGCATGCTGCTACCCATTCCACAAACCCTGTATTCCACAATGTGCAGGGCACTATGTTAAGAATTCATCTACCTTAAAGCCACTTCAGTATGCATGGCACTCAAGAGCTAGCTTTCACATGCCTGGACCCAGAGGCAGTCCCGACCTGCATCTGCCCTCTTTTCATGTCAGCTGCTCTCAAGGTTTTTGTCATTTCTCTTTTCAACCTAAACTGGCATCCTAAACATATCTAAAGCAAAGTTCTCTAGACAATGAAACTAATAAATATAAGCTTTATTAAACAGCAAATAGATCACTTAGAAATGTTTTAAGAAAAACTTACCACTTGGACCCAAATTTCCCATTACACCACTTATGTTCAACTGGCTGGCACTAATAGGTTGTCCACCTGGACCAAGTCCCATTCCAATGCCTCCAAGACCACCTAAACCACAAATAACAACATTACCAAGACGCATATACAACTGGTACTAACCTTCAAAACTAGCTATATGATTGTAATAGTATCCTAAAAGGTTACAAATAACAGACGTTCTTGTTTTCATTTATAAAACATCATATAAAAAGACTGTAATATCATTTATGAAAGAACAGAATTTTATGAAGTAGGTTCAGCTTATATTCTACTTGAAGGACCTGCAAAAGGCCTAACAAAATGGCAAGAGAGAGGCTAAGGAAATGGTACCTTGAGTAAAGGCCTTGCATTGCAAACATGAGGACCTGACTTCAATACCCAGAATGCATACATTTTTAATCTTAATGCTCATGAGGTTAATAGATCCCTAGAGCTCATTGACCAGCCAGTCTAGCTTACTTGGGCAAGTTCCAGGCAGTGAGAAACTCCATCTCAAAATATAATAGACACTGCATGCAGAAAAACACCCAAGGCTGTTTTCTGGCCTCACTTCCATACCTATCCACTCCCAACCCATGGAAACACACGCACGCACATGTACCCCAGGAAAAGATGAAATACATCACTTCATGTCACACTGCCATGGGCAATCTCTTCTCCAGGAACAGTATTTCCATTGCCATCTTAGAATCAGAGCAGTTGTGATTAACCACTGGAAGGGAGCTCACAAGAAAGCACTTATACCAATTGACTATTGGCTTGGGAAGTGGGGGAGGCATGACACACATGACTATTTATTGCTGGAATACCTATCTATAAATTGTCCATGTTTCTGTAAATGACCACAATTCAATTCACCAATTTACAAAATAAGACTTGGGTGAAGTATTTGGGTAAACCTTTTTAGTCTATGGCTGGTACCCTCTCTGGGGTAAAGAGACATTTCCAGGCATCCTCAGGTAGTCACACAGTATACACATCTGAAAATGAGCATCTTGGCCAGATTGTGTAACGACTAAAACAGAATTACTTTCAAAGTAGTAAAGTAAAACTGAAAAGCCAACAAATACTGAAGATGTAAGAATGAGCCTGGGCAGTGAACACAACCTTTAGTCAGCATTCTTAGCACTCAAAGGCAGAAGTGTAAGTTCAGGGCCAGCCAGAGCTACATAACAAGACCCCTATCTCAAACACTCAACACCAAATCCATTTTAAAATTCATAATAATGGAGGTATAGAGAGATGACTCAATGATTAAGAGCACTTGTCACTCTTGCAGAGGGCCTAGGTTCAGTTCTCAGCACCCACATAGCAGATCACAAGCATATATAACTCCAGTTCGAGGATCCAGACACAACTGCACACAGCTGATGCAGAAAAAAAAAAAAAAAAAAAAAAACACCCACACACATAAAACATCTTTAAAAAACCTGTAACATTGAAAAAAAAGATACTAATTGTCTGGCTTTATCATGAACATTTATTTACATTTACAAAATAAATGTTCTCATATCTATTAAGCAAATGTAAGGAATTTTGAGACCTTAAGTTGCCTGAACACTGCTTACCTATGTGATTAAATTTAGATTTTTAAATTCTGGAGGTAGGTGTGTGTGTGCTCTTTAAGTAAATAAATAAATTTAAAACCAACTTAGAAAACTGGAGCTATAACTACTCCTGAGCATAATTCCAAAGAACTTCAAATTCTTACACATCCATGTCCATTATTGCTCTATTTACCATGGAGGAAACGTAAAAAATAAAAAGAAACCAGCCTAAACATCCACCAAAAGACAAAGAGATAATAAAAACATGCTAATATTCACAAAGGAGATTTATTCAGCTATAAAGAAAAATGCAATCTGGAGAAAAAAACTGGTGAACCTGTAAAGTATAACAGCAAATGAGATGAGCCAACTCAGAAAAACCAGGCATGTTTCTCCCTCATTTGCAAACCCCAGCCCAAGGGCATAACTGCAGAAAGGAAAGCAAGAGTGGTGTTACTAGGTGATGGAGGGGGACAGATTGTAGGAAAAGGACATAGCAGCTAGGAAAAAGGTTATAAAGCTATTTCCTAGTTTTCAAGGTCGGTATATGGATTCAACTGTAACCATTTCTACATTCCCAGATCTACCATGTGTTATTTCCTTTAGGCAATGATTACGGAAGTTGGGCTTTCTTATAATGCCACTGACCATTAATGCAAAAGGAAGCAGACATGACAAGTCACTAAGCCTATTGGTTACATTACATTAGCCCAGTTAGAACAAAAGTAAGGTTTAAAACAAAAAAATAAAATTTTTAGGGGTGGAGATCTATAACCAGAATGAAATTTTTCTTTTCCACCTGTTTAAAACACTATTATAGTGTTGTTTAAGGTATAAATGGCACTGCTATAGGCAAGTAAGGAGACTTTTGTTGAAATGTAAAAGTATGGTACATACACACAAGGAAGTTTTACTCATCCGCATAGAAGAATGAAATTATTTTCAGGGTAACAGAACCAGAGAGCATCACGTGAAATAAACTAGACTCGAATAAATATCACATTTTCTTTCATGAAGACTTTAAACATAAATTGTGACATGAAGTAGAAGATGGCTACGAAGGAGGAGGAAAAGGACTAAAAAGTAATGGAGGTGAAAAAGACAAAATATTGCATGTCTTTTCTTATATGTAGAATATAGATTTAATTCTCTATACACACAACATATACATGTGTGGCCAGAAAGAAGGCAGAAAGAAGGCAAGAAAGAAAACTATCTGGGGAGAAAGAGGGCCAGCAAGAAGATGAGGCAGAGTGAGAGAAGACACAGGGAAACAATGAGATGTATGAAAATGACTTAATAAAATCCACTTTTACTCTAGCTAATGAATGATGTAGGGAGGAAGGGAGGGAGTATTAACATGACTGATGGCAGCTTAATGACAGCAACACTAAAACCGGAATGGCTGTTTACTATACCTGAGTATGTTTTTCAAATTCTCACTAAGGTAGCAATTGGGATTTGAAGCTGAGAAGACTTATATCCTGTTAGCTGTTGAAATCAGAGTACAGGCGCATGCTATTTTAAACTACACAGATCAATACGAAGTAAATGTGTTCCTATGCCTAACTGTGATCCACTTGGAGAAACAGCATAGCAATGCTCCCATGTACAAGCACCACCTTGTCCATTCTGATGTCACAGGAATTTTATTAATCTCAAAAAGTTATAAAAAGAAAATTCTTAATATTAGAATCATGAGAAATTTCCCACTTGCCAACTTGTAATAAAATTTGGTGAAGGAAAGAAGGGGAAAAGTAGAGGAAAGAGTTTAAAAATCATCTAAAGAAATCTACCAAAGCCCACAATACAAATTACTTCAAAATGTATACATAGGACAGATTTTTTCAATTTCATACATGCATACATTTGATCGATGTGCTTTGATCAAAGCACTGCCCCAGTCCTTCCCAACTCCCACATAACCCTCCCCATTACTTTTTCTTCCCAACGTCATATACTTTGGTGTTGCTGTTTTTAACTACTGCGTTCATTTACTATTCTATGTGTATGAGTGTAGGGGCCAGTCACTGGAGACTGGGAATTTTCTCAGGCACTGCATTCCTGAAGAAAACCAATTCTCTCTTCCCCAGCAACCAATAGTTACTAAGCTAGGGCAGGATTTCATGTGCTCCTTCACCAATCACCCAGGCTGAGATTTCAGCCATCTTGATCTTGTACAGATCTTAAGCACTAAAATTTACTGCTAATGGAGGAAACTGCAGCTGGACTCTTGAACAATGGTGGCCCTGACCAGGTAACTGGGAAGGGAAGAAGACTACTTACAAAGAGAAAGGGCAGAGTTCAAAGATATATGGTTGATAATTTCCAGAATTTATCTTTTAAATTTTCAACCACTGTAAAGCCTCTATAAACAGTAATCTACACTCATACTGCAGTAAAACTGTCACTAGAGAACAAGACTTTAAAATTAGTTCCATGAATAACAGACTACCAATAAAAAAATGGGGGAGAGGGAGATAATTCACCAAAGAGCTTATCTGAATTATAAATTAAAACAATGGAAACCAGAAGACTAAACTATTCTCAAAGTGCTAAGAAACTGTAACTTGATCTTAAACTCTCTAATAAGTCAAACTATCTTAAAAGACATTTATACAGCAGCCAAAATTGAGACTTTACTAACAATAACTCCTCACTGAAAATAATAAAAATAAAAAGCTTAAAATAGAAATAATGTCTGCTTTGTGACATTTGAAAAACAGAATTAAAACCCTCAGTGTTAATAGCTTGCAAAAGCATTAGAATTAAAGAGGATACAAAAACTAACTTTAAGATTTCTACATACATAATACCCAGGGTTACCACTAAAAACAGAGAAAGATTAGTATTTATAAAGTGCCAAAAGTGAAACACAAAATAAGAAAATGGAAATCTATTCAAATGATCAATATGAGGAAACTTGAATTCAACTTCACATAAAAGACTGCCAAGCCAATTTTTAAAAAATATAATTGCATCTATAACATTTAAGTATACCCACATCAAAAACATTAATATTAAAATAAAATAAAAAACAACACAAAATTATCATATTTAGTATTACACAAAATCACCTTCTAAAAATTACTTTATTCACCAGAAATTTTTCAATTTTTATTTTTCAACAATTCTAATATTTATTAATCATCAATTCTAATTTTGAATATACTTGATAATTAGGCTTCAAAATATTTTCAACAAGAAAAAAATAGGTAAATCTATCAATGTACTAAGAAATTTTACCATTAAATATTTCTCAGTAACTGATAACCCAAGTAGATAAAATTATGAGAAAGGATAGAAGATAGTTTAAGTGATTAACAAACTTGATTTTGTAAACATAAAAGACATAAAAATGGGCCTATGGTAGGCCATCCACAGTAAAATTCTAATAATTTCATAGAAGCATAATCATATGGACTATGTTATATTACCACATTGAACCTAAGTCAGAAACTAGTAAGAAATAAAAAACTTATGCATTTAAAAATTCAAAATTCGTATTTTCAAATATACAGGATACAAAAATAAATTAATTTATCAACACTGAACTATAATAATTTAGTCCTAAGTTTAGTCTTCTGTACAAGAAGAACCTATGTACAGTAGCTAAAGTGATAATCCTAATTTCTTATGTTAGAAAAGAGAGAATGAAAATGAGTGAAATATACATCCAACTCAGAGTCAGAGCAAAAATGAGACTAAACCTAAGGAAAGGAGGAAGAAAGAAATGAAGAAATTAAATATACTAAAAACAAAGCTCAGTCTTCATAAACACTAATGAACTGACAAGTTTCTAATGATAATGAGCCAGTAAATGGAGAAACAATATTGGGCAGGAGAAACAGCTCAGCCCTTAAGACCCAAATTTGGTTCCCAGCATCCACACTGTATCACTCATAACCACCGACTCCAGCACCAGGGGATCCCACATCCTCTTCTTACCTCTGAAGGCACTGAACTAACATGCACAAGCCTACATACTGACACATATATATGCACATAATTAAAATAACATATTTACAAAGAGGAAACAGAACTATGAATACAGGGAAAATTTAAGACAGTGTTGTTAACAAAGTTTAACACCAAGCCATCAGTGGGTAAAAGTACTTGCTGCTAATCCTAACACCCTGAATTCAATCTCTGGAACCCACATAGTAGAAGAGACCTGATTACCAAATGTTGTCCTCTGACCTCCACAAGTGCCACCACAACAAGCACACAATCTTACTCTTCACACATACACACACACACACACACACACACACACACACACACACACACACACACACACTAAATCAATGTTTAAAAAGCTTTGATGTTCAAGATAGACAAAGGGGGGAGGCATCCTTAGAAAACTAGACGTTACCAAAACTAACTTGGGCAGCAATAAAAAAATATGGCCAGTAAATAAGTCTGCTGCAAACATGTATGAAGGCCAGTTTTACACATTTTCTAGAAAATATCAAAAATAGGTAATTCTTAAAGAAAAAGAATATTCCAATTTAGTATTACTTCTAATACCTGAAAATGCAAATCTAAAAAGCAAAAAAATGTATGAATGAAGAATACGTTAAAATGAAGATACCAGCTTTATTAATAAAATAGAATCGAGACCAAAACACAAAACAGTGAACTATGAAATAACATATCACACTGAATCTTTAATTCAGGAGTTATTTTTTATGTTTATGGATGTGTAAAGGTGCACTCACATTATTAAAATCTATATAATAAACATATTCATTCATGAGCTGTCCCCTCTGTGCGAGTGACACATTGAGAGGTGGATGTGGAGTTGGAGCATTTCAAGTCTATTTATAAAATTTTACTTAATCAAAAAATCTAATTAAGTGTATGGCACACAAGAACTACAAAATAATTTTATTTCTGTCTATGTATTTAAAATATTTTGCTACAAACTTTAATAATAATGAAAGGACATGAAGACAAACATCAATGTACAGTAATGTTGCAAGAGCAATAGCCAACATGGAGCGCTTTACACTGCTGTTTTATAATGCTTTGGAATATAGTAATTAGTGGGCATATCTTGAGAATCTGTAGATCTAAATCTGGAATTTTTAATACTGAAAATGAATTCAGGACCCCATCCATGCTAATCAATTGCTCTACCACTGAAGTATACCAGCACTATCCCAACTGACACCTTGTTTACGGTGCTAAGGCTAAAACCCAGGGACTTAAAAGAGCTCTGTACTGAGTCTATCTCTAGGTCTCATTAAGTTGTCCAGGCTAGCTTAGAACTCACTCTACAGATGAGGCAGACCTTGAACTTATACTTTAGATTCTCCTGCCTTAGCCTCTTGAGGATCACAGGTCTGTGCCACCGGCATGGCTCAGGACATCTAAAGAAAATAATGAAAAACAGCCAGTATTTTTATACAAAAAAGTATAATTTACTCTGCTATGCTGGTTAAAGTATTTAAGATAATCTCAGAGGCACCAAAATGTATCAAGGTCACATTAAGGTATGAAAACACAGACTCCCTCTTGAATTAATCTGACCACGAATGAGCCAAAATTGAATTCTCCACTTGTTTCTGTATCTTCCATCTGTCTGTAGTTTGTAGTTACTGGACTGACTACAGTCTGTTGTAGGTGTCTGTGACTACCCAAATACCTGTATATTGTTGTTATATCTGACTGTCCCTATGTCTACCTGTTTCTAACATAGAGCTGTGTCCCGTATTCATCAACAACACAGAAAGCATGGCACAGGGATTGGGTTGGCTCTTCAGAAATCTTTAACAGAACTTTTACAAGGGAAGAGACTTAACTGACCCAGAATAGTAAGCAACACTGCAAACAGACATTATCAAGTAATATTCTATATTGCTTCCAACATTTATAGTGGATATCTGTTTTAAGGTTACTTTCAATCTCAAAGTTGCTGGCCATTTTCAGTAAATGATTACAGCATATACACACACATTATTCTGGATCAAGGGCATGGAAGAGACAAAACTTAAAATTAAAGGTAGGATAGGTTGTAAAAGCTGATTACATGGGAGATCCAATGCATAGTAAAGTTGGTTATTACACTGTTCTCTTAAAGACAGGTTAAACTTAAACAGGTTGAGTACACAGTAGGATAGCAGGTTAAATACACAGTCTTTAATGTTCTCAAGGGGTATTATTAACTTGGCTATGAGGTGCAGAAAATGTTTACTCTCTCTGAATGCAAAATATTTTCATAAGACTGCATTACACTTTATTGGTTATTAAAGAAATAAAGGTTAAATCATATAAAACACAGAATAGCAAAAAATGATTATGGATCACTAATAAAAATATTTGGAATGAATTTTCAACATGGAAAAATGGTTGTAATTTATTATTAAAACCAATCTCTAACTGATATAGTAGTCTAAAGCTATTTAAATACACATACACACACACATACACACACATACACGGAAAGATAGCAAGAATATACATTAAAAAATGTTAAAAATGGTAGATATCTATAGTAAAATTATAGGGTTTCCCCCCTTCTTGTATATGAACTCACCAAATATATTAGTACTCTTTAACTAGGAGGTCAGAAACAAATTTTAAAAAGTCCCATATTTATCTTTTCAGTCTATACCTAACCAGAAGCAGCAAGCTGTCCAAAAATTCCAAACTAATCTCAGAGTATAAGGAGTGTGAGAGCGACTTCAATGTAGTCATAAAAACTGACTTCTGCTTTATACATAATGCAAAATAAACTAACAAAAAACTCCAGCTGTTTTCTAACAAGAGCTCCTACTTACGTGGTAATTGTGATGTCTTACTATCATGTGAACGGTAGTCTTCATGAGGAACAGATTTATCATCCTAATTACAAAAAAGAGAAAAGTTTATTATAGTTCAAACACAGCCAACAAGAACTACTGTGCTAGAGACAGGTCTGAACAAGTGAAGGCTGAGATGACAAGTAGGAACTCACCATTTTCACATGCATGGGTCTATCAAATAAAAACTGCCCATTGAACATGGCTGTCGAATCAGTCAAGGAAAGCCAGTTTAGATGACTGTAAAATTATTCTTGCGGACAAATTATCATATTTAAAGTCTGAAATGTTCTCTACTATTTTACCATTAGACTTTATTTATACTAGTCTCTTCCTTTGATTTGTAACTTAATTAGCCAAAATTAACTAGGTTTCATCAAAAGCAACTGCACTGGCATGCAATGGGGTAGGTAAGTGTCAAAGTATACATACACACATTTTGCTGCAGCTGGAAGGAAGAGCAGAAAACAAATTCCTACCAGCCCTGGATAACATGGCTAATTCAAGTGTGAAGAGTGACTCTAAACTTAACAAGTCTTAGTGCTGTAGACAAAAGTCTAATTTCTAAGCGAGACAACATTATATAACATAAACAGGAAACAAAGGTATTAAGCCTCACCAACTTCATTTAATGCTAAAATACAAATCAGGATACAAATTGCTTGAACTGCTTCAATTGCTTGCTCAAAAGTGACAGTGCCCATGCCTCTGCTCTTGCCGTCCTTGTCTTCTTTAATATCTGCCCGCTTTACAGTTCCAGCTATGCTGAACACTTCCTTTAGCTTCTTCCAACCAACTTTGAAGTCAAGCTTAACATAAAATTATAAAGTTACATTCTTAACAAATGCTCCTTCCTGATGTGAATACAAAATAATCTTTTCCAAACTCCTAAAACTATAAACTGTAATTCTTGTTAAAAAAATATGCCAATGATGTACAATTAAAAATGGTCTTGCTTAAAGTCAGTTCAGCTACCTCTACCTTCATTTAAATTCCCCAAATCACCTTTCAATTCCTTAATTTTGTTGTGTACATGTGAAATTTAAGCACCAATTTGGACTAAGGAAAATTCAGGTTTTGAAAAACTGTCCATTTCGATAACTTTCAAGAGCATAAAACAAATGGGAAACCAGCCACAATAGGCACTTAAAACACCAAGACTACAAGAATGAAATTCAGCTACCAAAATGAATAAAAATACATACAACTGCCTTCGAAAACAGTTCAGTACTAAGAATTCCACAGTTCTGTCTTAATATGCTAACCAGTTATATTTGAGTCTAACTTCAGACTACATACATAAACTAGGTTTGGGTTTAGAATAATTATATCTTTATTTACGTAAGTTAAAAATACAAGAAGGATCTACAAACCTATCAGCATATATCTAACAAAATAATGACATGATGAGAGTAAGTATGGGAGCAACAAAAGCTTAAACTAAAGCCTAAACTTACATTAGCAACAAAAATTGTGGAACCAAGTCTACCAGCCTGCAAATTGCTGATAACCTCAGGAGGAATGTTTGGATTATTGAGAATGGAAGGTGGCAAATTCACCAACCCAGATCCCACATCAGAGGCATGCGATCCTTGAAATGATGTTCCTGTTCGCTGCAGTGCCCGTCGAGCATTTTCTCCATCAGGATCCTGTAATGCACACTTAATGTTAACGGCCAGCAAATACATCAGTGAATATATACAATTCAAGTGGCTTAAACTCAACAGCAGCTAACTCATCTGGACCAACATATTGACATCTGTGAGAGTAAGGTTTTGCTTATTCTGGTTTTTTTTTGTTTTTCTTTCATCCAGGAAGTGAGTCCCATAAAAACCTGTGGATAGACAAAAGATTTCAGACTACAAAGCTGGGAGCTAATTACCTTTTTCCAGTCACTGAGGCCACAAAGAAACTTAAATTCATTTTGTTTTGCTCTTACACTGATGTAGAAGGGTGTGGCATACACATATAAATGTCCTTACTAAGAATAACCAAACACTTACTGTGCCTCTCTTCTTTCAATAATACAGTAAAGGTGAACGCTCACCACTAGATAGCCAAAGGAATGACAGATTCAGACTCATTCACAGCCTCTTACTATGCACTCAGGAATACTGGGTTAGAGTAAGTTTATTATCACTGGTTGATACCACTCCTGAACAGAATATAATAATCCATTTTATAATCTCTTAGCTTCCTCAACAATGAAAAGGGTCTGTGATGGGAAAAGGGGAGGGATAGGGATAACAGAAGGCCAAGTATTCAAGTAAAGAATTGTAGCAAACATTTTTAGTTTCATTGACTTTTAAAATAAATATCCTTTAGAAAAACAAAAACGGCAAGTACAAATGTGTTTCACCCACTCATTCCACTAAGTAGAAGGTCAACAACAAAACACACATAAAACTACATGAAATGAGGACTATCATTTGCATACAAATTCTCATGCCAAAAATTCTACTTTCTCATTCATGAACTCACAGCATTTGTGCTTGCCTGCATGAGATCAGATTAGTCCAGCCAACATTGTAAGATGGAATTAAAAAGGGGCTCTAGAGCTCCTACCCATTAGGGATCTACTGGCAGTTGATAGCTTCTGGGAAGAGTGTCAATTTTCTTTAAAGGTATGATTCTTGGCAGGTCAGTCATGCAATAGTGGATCCCACCACCCACCCATCTTCAGCCACCCTCCCCCACACACACACATACACACACAGGAGAATATGGGTAGCTCAAACTGGACTCAGGTTTTAAAAACTATTTGGGAGGGACACAAAGAAAGTTGGTAGACCAGGGAGGTAGGAGTGGATCTGGGAAGAGCTGGGGGAGAAGAGACGGTAAAAATGATCAAAATACATGATATGAAATTCTCAAAGAATAGAAATATTATATAAAAATCTTCCCTTCTGTTGTTAGTCTGTAAATACTGATTAAAATAATAATAATAAAGTAGCTGGGTGGTGATGGCACACGCCTTTAATCGGGAAGCAGAAGCAGGTGAATCTCTATGAGTTCAAGGCCAGCCTGGTCTACAGAGTGAATTCCAGGACAACCTCCAAAGCTACAGAGAAACCCTGTCTCGAAAAACCAAAAAATAATAAAGCAAAATAAGGAAGGATGGCTTCAATAAATAATCCAGCATAGCTGGAAGGACAAAAGAAAAGGGAAAAGAATGAATGGAAGAATAAAAGTATGCTGGACACCAATGTGTTTATGATAAAGAAATTAAAAAGATTACAGAAGTGAAGAAATTATTGTTACCAATGAATTGCTGTAAGACTTTTAAGTTAATAAATAGGATGCTTAGTGCTCATTCTGTCACTTGGTGGAATCGCTTGTGGGGAATAACCTTGATCACATTAATTATAACTACTTTTAATAGTGAGCAGGACCATTCCCTGTACTGGATCCTTGGATGCATAAAATGAAGGACATGAGCTGAGCATGCATTCCTATCTCTCTGCTTCCTGATAATGGGTTCAGCTTTTGCAGGCTCCTGCTGCCTTCAATTCCCACAACGATGGACCTCACTTCAAAGAGAGAACTAAAATAAACTCTCCCTTAACTTGATTTTATTCTAGTATTTTATTACAACGACAAGAAAAGAAATTAAGACATTCATAAACATTTCAGGTTTGAGAATTGAAAAACTTGTACAAAAAGAAAAAAATTGAGAATAGTGCTTATCTACATAGGAGGATTAAAAAAAGAGAGAAAGCTCCTTCAACTATTAAAATACATACATTGTTTGTATTAACAGTAATATATTTTTGTCACACATAAGCACTATATAATATACATTATACACACATAAACAAATCACATATGATCTTAATTAGTTTTTATTCTTCTTTTCCCCTTGTTGTCCAGCCTGCCAATCACTAACTTAATGCTATTAGTGGACCTACTAAGACATACAACTCCTACTGATCTTCACACCATTGGATACTCTAAAGACCTGCTAAAGAACACTACAAATACCCCTTCATTGGATAACCAGGCAAGCAGTCCTCCGCAGTTTTATCGGCCACTGATTTATAAATCGGATATCCCAAGGAAAATGACTGCCTTTACTGAACATTAGTCAAAGAGTTAAATAAATCCTTCATTATTTAGTAAAGTTGAATTTGACCCTTTTTCCCCCTTCTAAAATAGTTAAAAATAGAGGCTTCCTATGACTTCATTCTAGGGTCTCCACAATAGGTCTGGGCTCTACAATATGCTGCAAAATAAAGGAACACAATCACATGACCTAAACCTTTGTCAATCTTAAAAACAAAAACAGAAGATACTATAAACACAGTATGCTTGATGTCTACAGGGTCTCCATGGAGCCTTTAAAATACTTGTTTTCTCTGAAGAGAAACAGGATCATAAAATAGCAAATTATAATCATTAAGTTATTAGATTATAAATTGGAACAAATTACTTAGGATGCCAGCACATTTCTAAAGCCTTAGCCCTGGCTTATTCATAAAAGCACCAAATAAATGACTAATCAAAGCACAAAGCTTAAACATCCCCTACCAAATCTCCAGGTCTCTGTCAACAATTTTTAGGTAACTATAATCCCAGGATCAAGCAGAATTCAAGGAATTTAGAAGTTAATTCCAGTAAAGAATGTAGGATACGTGAGTATTTTGGTACCAGGCCATTGAAGCTATCATCACACTAAAGAACAAGATATCAACAATCACTAACAGGAATTGTTATTAAAGCTTACATGCACAATATAGTTAGACTATTTTAAGCACTGTGCTAACAGCTTTATATAATATCACAAGTATAGTAACTAGGAAACACTGGTTAACACTTTGAGTCTTTACAACACTACCAGAGAGACTCCAGTATTTCTCCTATCTCAGTGATAAGGAAACTTAACAAAGGTTAAGTGACTTGCTTTGTCTGGGTCATTCGGCTAGTCTCATGACAGAGAATGAGTTATAACAACTTGACCTTCATAAAAGTCACAGTAGGTATGATCATGATCGATGTTATTATAATAAGTAGTGAAGACAAGAGAAGAGAGGCCACATGTCCTGTCACCTGGCCATAAAAGGGTAAGCCGAAACTCAAAATCAGTGTTCTTCTGTTGAATTGGCCAGTCAGGGAACAGCACCAGTACTAGCACAACATTTCAAAGACTCAAAATAACACTGCCTATTTCTTTCTTCCCTTTTTTCTTTTTTCATTTTTTTGAGATAGAGTTTTTCTGGGTAGCCCTGGCTGCCCTGAAACTCACTCTGTAGACCAGGCTGGCCTCAAACTCAGAGATCTGCCTACCTCTGCCTACGAAGTGCTAGGATTAAAGGCATGCACCACTACCACCCAGCTGCCTATTTCTTTTAATACAGATTTAGTAAGGATATGTGTACAAATGGGTCTATGGTAAAATTAACAACATAAAATAAGAGCTCATGAAATTATGTTATTTAAGCTAATTATTACCAAGATCAATTACTCCTAATAAGTAGTATTTTGTAAAGTACCTTCTGATCATTTGTCAATCTATTTATACTATCACAATTCTATACAGAGAAAATTCCCATTGTAGATTATTCTAAATTCTAGTTATATACCTCAGTAAGTTATAATACTTCTTAAACTCTAACCTTATAGAATCTAAATTAATTTTATTAAAGATGAATACCAATATTACTCAAATCCACAAGCTTAGTGTATTATCAAGCAACCAGTAATCAACTATAATATCTATTTAATTTTCAAATTAAACAACAGTCTAAAAACTGAAAATGTTATAGTAAATAAAATCTTCACCTAAAGTTTGTCATCTCTAAATTTATGGGTCCTCATTTTTTGTTTTAAATTGGAGACCTCTAGCTATAACATGACATCAATTAAATATAAAGAATAACTTAAGGATTCATAGCAAATTATCTATAAGCAAAATTATCATTAGGCACAATTCTTTAATAAACATATATCCTTAAAAAACAAGTTGTCAGACAACTAAATGAGAAAAACTAAAAAGTGAAAGGAAACATGCTCATATAATACAAAAAAAAATATATATTAAAAAAAAAAAAAAAAAAAAAAAAAAAAAAAACCTTACCTCTTTAATATTCAGAGGTCTTCCACTGAGGTCATATTTATTCATAGTTTCTAGTGCTTTCTTTACAAATTCTTCATCTTTGAATTCAACCACACTTAATAGGGAGAAATATATAAGAAATGCTTATGTACAAAGATTTCTTATTCTAATCACAAGATTAATTTGACTGAAGATACTTAAAAATATCCTTACCCACAACCCTATATCCAGTAGATTGTCAATATATGCAAAAGAAAAAAAAACATTTTAGGTCAGTAGTTGAAGTTAATGGAAGACTCTAATATTTAAGTCATCAAAAGTAATCAAGAACACATTTTCTTTTTCTTTTACACCTCCAGAATGTAACAGGCAAGTGACCATGCATTTACTACAAATTTTTAAATCCATCTAGCATGTTACAAGCTTGGAATACATTCTTACTTTCTTTAAATTACAACTAGTACCACTGCACAAATTCAGTCAACAGTAAATAAAGGAAGAAACTGAAGGCCCAATATACATGTTCTTACACAGTAATATGTATTTCAAAAGATGTGTACAATATGCTTTTTAAATCTAACTAAAATAGCAAATAAACATGAATTTTTTTAAAAAAAATTACTATTTTATGTGTATAGATGTTTTGCCTGCATGTATGGCTACACACAATGTGTGGGTCTAGTAACAAAGGTCAGAAGAGGGTGTCAGATCCCCTGGAACTTGAGTTTCAGAGGGTTGTGAGCTGCCATGTGGTGCTAGAAATTGAGCCCAGGTCCTCTGGAAGAGCAGCCAGTACTCTTTAACTGATGAGCCATCTCTCCAGCCCCCTTGAATTTTATGTTTAATAAAGATATCTCCTGGATTAAAACTGGCTGAACACAATTTAGGAGCATCTAGTTGGAAGCATGTAAAACAAATTACCCATGCTAAGGAAACTTACAGAATCATTTTTTAAAAATAATTCAAAGTGCCACTTGAATGTGATGACAAAGTTTGTATTTCTCATGTACCCAACCATTTTATGAATATGATGAGACGCTATTAAAAGCTTTCCGTTATAGTCTTCGATATACACATGCTGCTAAATCAAAATCTATCATCAGCCTTCTAGGTCAACTTAGTCATAGACATCATTCATACCAAATGGTCAGAGCACTGCCTCTTACAGGATCCTGAAGGCTACCAAATTAAGCTTTTCAATAAAAGTTTCAAAATTATATTCTAAATTAACACCTTTAAGCCACAGGCCTCTCATGAAACTCTTGGGAATATTAACAATTCAGTGACTTTTAAAATATCCCTGAAGACATCAAAATACAACAAGAAAAACTGTATTAAATTTTATTAGCTAAGAAAAAGCATACCTTAAAGCATTAGAAAAATGAATACCCTTTATGAGTATTTGCAAAACCCATCATCCCTTTCAGGAAGCTGGTTTGGTTGGCATGTCAGACTTGCTAGTATAAAAACCTCAAATCTTAAAGTAAAACAAAATGAAACTTAAGTTTCCAAAAGTCTGATAGAGTATTATACAAAAATAAACTGCTGAGGAACTTTTAAACCTCAAGCAGATGATGGCCCACAGCACTTACCCTTGATTTTCCTTCCGCATCCTTAAAGAGCTCCACGTATGTAACCTCACCAACTACATAAGACATACAAAAGGAAGATACCAAGAAACAATACATTTAAACACCAGTATCTTGCTTTACTGCACACCTGTGCACAACTCTACAGAAAAGCACCTATTATTCACCAGCAATCAGGACCAGATCAACATACCTCCTATCAATAGCTATAGAAATTTAACTAATTTTCAGAAATTGCATCATCCACATTCTCTAAAAAAGCTAACAACCATATTAACCCAATTCATACTGCAGATCATATTTGGCCAGCATGATGTGGTTGGTGAACAAATGCACATATACATACAAATGATCCCTCAGCCTGTCATATTAACAACATTGGTCAGCCTACACACAACAGCTGTTTTAAGGTGACTTCCTACCTGAATGTCTTCAATCATGTTTGCCATCAGTAAACTAAATTTACAAGTCATGCTTCACAGCAAGCCACACACTTCTAAATAAAGTCAGTGAATAAAACCAGTCAAATAGTTGTCACCTTACAACAGATACACCAATGCAATTAAAAAAAATAATTAGAGAAGATCACCCTCAAAGCCAAGTACATAGTTTGCAGGACTGTTGAACCTCAATTTTTCAAGAGATAACAGAACTAACTTTTACAAGATCAAGTATTGAAATTGTTTTCCCCCAAAACCAAGCATGTGCATAAGATGAAGGTTTTCAGGTTATTCTGAAAACAAAACTGCAGCAGCAGTAACACAAATTTAGTACAGAACTGCAAAGACAGCATCATGGCAGTCGTGACAATGCAAGCAAAATGAATTCCACAGCCAGATTCCAGACTCCACCAAAAACATCTTTGGGGGAAAAAAAAAAATCGACCTTATTATACATACATTAACAAGCTAGATGCATTGCTTAACTAATGCAACAGTCCTTTAAAATCTATAAAAACTTCAACTAGACAAAGCAATCACTTTAACAAAATTCTTGGTGGCATGCAGATGCTGGCTTCACTATCCCACTAAAATGGCAAAAAGAAAAATACTTCATTTATCCATACTTCCTTGTAATGAAATTGCCAAGTGGAAGAAAAAGAAAAGATTAATTCACATGTCAAGAAAGAAAAGTCTTTTTTTTTTTGAGTCTGTGTGGCTAAGAGGAATAAAAAGTTTGCTTATTTCTTCCCCCTCCTATATGACAATTACAACAGTAAGTTACTGCAGAAACTGTTACCTTTTTCTCTCATCAAGTCTTTAATAGCCTGCCATTTCATGTCATAGGGGATGTTGCTAATGAACACTCGGTTCCGGTTTGGACCTTTCTTTTCTCCAGTGCCCGAATTCTTATCTTTTGAATAAGGATGAAATCGATTGGCCTTCTTATTTCCTGTAGACTTTTCTTTTAAATCAGATTTTTCTTCTTTCACTGATTCATCATTCTCCCTGTGAATCACAAGACAAATAAAAACATCTTCAGTTAAGCATCTAAGAATGGAACTCTTGTGTATCAATCATTCACATTTGTCACTTCACAAATTCTCAATTAAGATAGAACTCGGCAAAGAAGCTGGAGGTCAGCCTCAGTAACAGCTCCATACTACTCACGCTTATCAATTTCTCAGGTAACAGTTGGTACTTTTCTTCTATGATATAGTTGTAAGCATCCCCAAATCCAGCTTTTCCCAAGATATTACTTAATATTACTAGACCCTATGGCAGAGGCATGTGAGTTATCTCAATATCACAGTTAGGGAAGAATTAACTTTTGGAGCATCATTCAACTCTAAAACCTAATCTGGACCAACAAGATGGTACTTGCTGCAAGAGCCTAATGACCTGAGTTCAAAACCACAACCCATGTTAAAGATGGAAAGAGAGAACTGACTACACAAATTTGTCCTCTGATATCAATATGCACTTCATGGTTCACATGCTCACATGCATCATACATACACACAAATGTGCAAAATGATAAAACATTCCATGTTTTAACTAAATGAAAATTTAAAAACTAACTCCTACTTAATGCATGGTGGCACACACTTATAAATTATTTCAGCACTCAGAAGACAGAAGCAGAAAGATTACCACAGGTTTCAAGCCAGCCAGGTCTATATAGTAAGTTCTAGCCAGCCAGACCGGAGCTACATAGTCAAGACTCTGTCCCCCAGTAAAGTAAATAAATGAATAAACAAACTAATATGATTATCTGAAAATTTTTATTACCTAGATTAACAATTTTATTAGAATTTTCTCCTCCCTTTAAAACCATAATCAAAATATCTACCTTTTAATAAAGGTGTACACTCATATTCACTATATGTTAACTTTTATCTATCCTTTATGTTGATACACAGAAAATTTAAAAGGCATCCTAATAGCTTCATGTTGAGCATAGGCTAAGACACTTCATAGAACTGTCTCTTTTACTAATAATGTTATCTATAATGAAAGGGTAGAGTCGAGAAGGGGGATAGAATTGTCTCTTTTACTAATAATGCTATCTATAATGAAAGGGTAGCGTCAAGAAGGGGGAGATAATGAAACATATCACGAGGCAGAATCTACAGAATCTGTCTTTTCTAATGGAGCTAAATGGAAAAAAGCTAATTTATAAGACTTTAATCACAATGCAACTATTATGATGTCATACACCAAGATGGGAATAAATAAGATATGTGTATATACTTAAAGTAATCCCTAAAGATAAAAATCTGGATTAATATTTAAAAACAGAATTTATTTTTTAAAGCAATATGCAGGTACATGCATGTGTGCAGGTGCACATGCATGTCTGTGAGCATGTGTATGGAAAACAGGGGACAGCCTCAGGAATGTCATTCCTGTCTTTGAGATAGTGCCTGTCTTTAGATTGATGCTTATCAAATTGGCTAGACTGACAGCCAGGAAGACCCAGGCACCTCTTCTCCCCAGCACTGGAATTACAAGGATACACCTTCCATGCCCAGCATTTTCATGGTTCTGGAGATCAAACTCAGGTCCTCAGTGCAAGCACTTTTTCAACTGTGCTATCTCCAGGCTTTGGAAGCAATCTTATTACAGAGACAACAGCAGATTTAACTCACAAATCTGTGAGTTAAATCTTTAGTCAACCCAAAGTATTTTCATTAACAAAATAATTTCAGGGCAATTTTTATAAACTTTAATGAGTCAAAATCTCAAAGAATGAGCAAGAAATCAGATTTAGAAAAAAAACTTTATGGATTATTCTCATGACAAACCAAATGTCTTAATCCAGGCTACAAATTCTAAGGTAAGCAATTTTAGAAAGCTATAAACAAAATTCGTATTGCTTTTTTGGTTTGGTTTGTTGAGATACGGTTTCTCTGTATAGCTTTGGAGTCTGTCTTGGAACTCACTTTGTAGACCAGGCTGACCTTGAACTCACAGAGATCTGTCTGCCTCTGCCTCCCAAATGCTGGGATTAAAGGCGTGAGCCACTACCACCCGGCTAATTTTTTTTCACTTCTTAGATACCACTCTTCTGAAGGACAACAATACTACCATAAATAAAATACATAAGGTCTATGAGAATAAAACCTATCTCCTTTGATATACACACTGTATCTAGTATGGTGACTAACTATAACACATGCTGGCTAAATTGTAATTTCTCTATTATCAGTTAAGGACCCACACTCTGGAGGTTGGGAAGATGGCTCAGTTGGTAAAGTACATGCTATGCAAAACTGAGTACTAAGCTTTGGATCTCCAGCATCCACATTAAGAAGTTGGGCATGGAAATAGATATCTGTAACTCTAAAGCATGTGGAGGGGAGGTCCCCTCTCTGGCCAGCCAGGATGACCTAATCATTGAGCTTTAGGTTCAGTGAGAAACCTCTGTGAACATGTACACACACGCACACACGCACACACACACACACACACACACACACACACACACGCACACACGCACGCACGCACGCACGCACGCACTCACCCCCAAACTTCGATGAAAAAGGTGATATATGCCTGTTAATACCAGCACTCAACTAATAGAAGCAAAAGGACTGCCAAGAGCTGAGGGCCAGTATGAACTATGAAGAACCAAGCTAGCAAGGACCCTATCTCAAAAACAAACAAAATCCATACTCTGAACAGATGGTGGCACCATCTTTGAGAAATGCTCCTATAATCAAGAGAAAAAAAAACATTACTATTAAACTTGCTTCACCACCTATTCAGATTTTAACAGGGATGTCGTCTCTATCAACCTTATTCTTTAATTAAAAAAAAAAAAGGCATGACCTTCTCAACTGTTCAACTCTAGAATTTATCTCTGTGTGAACAGAATGGCATTTCTGAGAATAGAAGTAAGCAGACAAAATGTACAAGGCCTCTTCTCTGGTTCCTAGCTACAGTAGACATAACAAACCTTTCTTCTGAATTCCCCTGATGAACTATCTGCATAATAATGTACTTCCACTGAATGTTTCCAGTCTGGGGTCAGGTAAGAAGATATCTAGTCTTTTGATAAGTATTCCTCCTGTCTACTTTTATCCTGAATGAAACCCACTGTGAAAATGCACAGAATTCTAAAGTACTAAGTTCCTCTAGTCTTCTCCCGGCTGAAGGTTATATGACTGTGATAAACACTTGTTTACAATACTCACACCATTCATTAAAAAATGCATTATTAGAATATCTTCTTTTTGTTTACTTAAAGGATAAGGAGAGAGCAACTAAAGGTTTCTCGAAAAATCAGAAACCAAACTATCAAATAACCTAGCAATTCCACTTTTTATATATAACCAAAGAAAATAAAAACATCTCAGTATCTGAACTCTTTCACCGGATCATTCAAAATAACTTAAGATATGGAACCGAACTTAAAGACAAAGTCTGTTAATCAATGAATAGTTAAAGAAAAGATTAGTGTGGCCATGTATTCTATATGTATACTGCAAACACACACACACACACAGATAGAGAGAGAGAGAGAGAGAGAGAGAGAGAGAGAGAGAGAGAAAGAGAGAGAGAGAGAAATATTCAGTCTTCAGAAGGAAAGCCTGCCATCTGCAGCAACCTAGAAAAACCTGGAGAACAGTGTGCTAAGTGAAATAAGCCAAACACAGAAAACTGAATACTACACAACATGAATGAACAAAACTGATAGAATCAGAGTACAATGATCATTACTAGAAGTGTAATGAGACATATGCCTAAGAATATAAATTTCCAGTTACCAAATAAGTTCAGGAGAAAATATATAATATAATAACTACAGTAAATAATGACTCAGTGTACAACTAGAAAATCATTGAGAATACATCACAAATATTTACAACACTTACAAAAGATGCTAGCTACATGAAGATACAGGTATATTAATTAGCTCAATTATAATAATTATATGATATTTACAGCAAATCAAAACATCTTATTTATCTTCAATACACACAATTTTTATTTTTCAATTATAACTCAGCAAAGCTGAGAGACCAACATCACAATTGTGATCTTCACTCATGATAAAATTGATGCTTTATTAGAAAACACTTCACCCTGCCCCAATGTTGGATATTTTAAAAATAGTACAATATAAATACATTTAAAACTATACAAGACTAATGAAGAGTCACAAGACAATTGCTGCTTCCCTTCCAATTTACTAAAGTGTGGAAAGAGGGAACAATATCTTTAATTCCTGTCTAAAGAACAAGCTTACTACATCTTCTGCATGAGTTTCATGATCACAAAAATTCTTGCTATATTTCTTCAACATATACTCACTGGACCTTTAAAATTTAAGGTCTCAAGGTGCAAAGACAAAAAAGTCTATGAATTAATTTAAATACAGTCACTTCAATCCTGGTGACAGCAGCACTTAGTTCACTTCTAAGCAGTGTGTGCTGTGAAGCAGCATCTGGTCATCACAATGATTTTAATGAATTCTTATCATTAAAAACCTGGTAATCAAGCCAGGCGCTGGTGGCGCACGCCTATAGTCCCAGCACTCAGGAGGCAGAGGCAGGCAGATCTCTGGGAGTTCAAGATCAATCTGGTCTACAAGGGCTAGTTCCAGGTCAGCCTCCAAAGCCACAGAGAAACCCTGTCTTGAAAAACCAAAAAAAACAAAAAACAAAAAACAAAACAAAACAAAAAAAACCTGGTAATCAGCCCAAGGTTCAGGGGTCCATCAGCAACCCTGACTGGTTCACAGTTGATGCACCTAAGATTTAAGGCCCTCCTTGTTCACTGCGAGTGTCTCATGCTGGCACCGCAGACAACATATCCCTTGGGAGTATACTGGTCTCCCCTCAACTTTGGGAAAATTGGGAAAGAATGAATTAGAATATGGAACATTCTCTATTTACTGCTGGCACCCTGTTTTCTGTCCTTAGATTAGAAAATGGATCTTTCCCACCTCTTTTCGAATTCTGCAATGCAACTGTTGGCACTGTATTTTCAAAACTAACGGAGGTTTAGAGGCCAGCTTCCCAAGTACCAACATCACAGGACGCAATGATATTTTCTTTCAGAG